CCATTCTATTTTACTTATACGCCAGATACCCAATTTTCCTTTCCTCTGCTTGACGCCCACCGTTCTATAATCAGTCGCCATGTCGGGGAAAATGACACTGTACAAGTTGGTGGTGCTGGGGGATGGTGGTGTCGGAAAAACGGCGCTCACAATTCAGGTTAGCCCTTGACCTCTCCGTCTCTGGTCGTGACCCGAATAGCTAAACAATTGGACTCTCCTTCGCTCAATAGTTATGTCTAAATCATTTCGTTGAGACGTACGATCCGACGATCGAAGACTCGTATCGGAAGCAGGTGGTGATCGATCAGCAATCATGCATGCTGGAAGTACTAGATACCGCAGGCCAGGAAGAATACACAGCACTAAGGGATCAGTGGATCCGTGATGGTGAAGGGTTTGTGCTTGTTTACAGTATCACCTCACGGGCTTCTTTTTCGAGAATACAGAAGTTTTACAACCAGATCAAAATGGTCAAAGAATCAGCCAGTTCTGGCTCTCCCACCGGCGCCAGCTATCTAGCCTCCCCGATCAACAATCCCTCCGGACCTCCGCTTCCCGTTCCTGTGATGCTGGTTGGTAACAAGAGCGATAAAGCTGTCGAGCGAGCAGTGTCCGCGCAGGAAGGCCAGGCCTTAGCCAAGGACTTGGGCTGTGAGTTTGTTGAAGCGTCAGCGAAGAATTGCATCAATGTTGAAAAAGCTTTCTACGACGTGGTTCGGATGCTCAGGCAGCAACGGCAACAACAACAAGGAGGGCGATCTCAGGATCGCCGACCCACTGGCTTGGGTCCCATGCGCGACCGTGATGCTGGTCCAGAATATCCGAAGTCTTTCCGGACTGACCGCGGCGGGCGGCATCGTAGCTCAATAAAATGCACCATTCTGTGAATCAAGCCTCTCTTGCTGGTCGAGTTACACCCTAGCCAAGGCTAGCCGCCCAAAGGAATGAAAGGGCCCCTTGTGCACGTTTTGCGATCTGTCGGGGATGTCGGTTCCACTCCTTATCTTTCTTTGGCCTTATCTACGAGAGCCCATGCGAGCCTGCTTTATGACAATATCTTCACTTGTTTATATTGACCGCGAGTCTTCATGGTCATATGGCTCTGCTCCCAGCGCCTTTCTCTGTCTTTTATTCTTGCCCCTCCCCCGCCTATGTTTCGTCTCTCTTTTTTTATTTTAACTTTTTTTTCTCCCTCTTTCCCTCCCCTATTTTTCTTAATACCTCCACTTGTTGAGATGCAATGGTCGGTGGTGAATATGCTTGATGCATGATCTACGTTTACAATGTGGGAGGCGATCTCTGGACCATCTCAGGGTGTTTCGGCTACGGAAGGTTTTGTGTCTGAAGAGGCCGGGAGCCGCCGGGGCCTTGGAAGAATACGTTTATTTTTTCTGTTTTCGTCTATATTCATTTTCGATCCCGCCGGCTTATTACCCGCCTCCCGAATCCTTATTTGCCTTTACGACACCTTTGTTACACAACAGTGGCGCTGGAGGAAGGGAGTTTTCGATATGAATAAAACAATGGAGATGGGGTTGGTTTATGGAATGAGAGGACGGCTTCTTGAAAGAATGAAGGCAGACGGATATGTGGTTTTTGAAGGAAGTCAGAAGATGGTAGTCCACAGTTTAGCAGGCATTGCGATATGATACCCTACGGTTGAGCTTTGAGTTGCGATTTTTGATGCATTTGCGAGTAACTACTAGGTACTACTAGAAGGGAAAAAAAAAAAGAGGCCCGATTTATTTTTATCACACTGCTTTCGCCTATGAAATTTCTACGGAGAAACAAAAAAAAAAAAAGTGGAAAATATAAAAATGAAATGAAAAGGGATGAACATCTCGCTGTGCTTGCAATGACTGGGCTCGGAGGATGAAGAAAGGTTCTATGTAAGTAAGTAAAGGACAATATCTAAGGACACATGGATAGGCGATCGATTGATTAAAATCGGGTTCGAGTGCGGGGAAAGCTTCTCATCTCCTAGGCCACCTTACCTCGGTTCCTCTCTCGACACAATTCTACGCAGTACAAAAGTAGTTATTACTCTTCATGTTGGGTTGCTTCATTCGCCCCGAAGCATGTTCGTCTTCCCTACGCCCGGAGGGTTGAGAATCAGCGAATCAAACCGAATGAGCGTGAGACGCTGAGCCACAACTCCGAAATCTCGTAAGGTTTCGGATGCCAGGACGGACGCCCTTCAATTCGAGGCTTAAGAATGACACCCCTAGCATCCCCGCATGTCTACTCCTTTGCTAGCCGCGGAATGCGATGGTGACCGACTCCTAACCGCGGCGACGTCCGCCTGCAGGAAGACGTCTCCGATAAGGCAGGGCCTTTCCAAATCCTATTGAACGCCTTCTGTTTAGGCTTTATGATCACTACTAGTAGTTGTTTAGTTGTCTTTCACATTCATCTTTTCCTGTTTGCTCGCTTCCCCCGTCGACCACCTTCCTCCTTTCATTATGCCACGTCATCCACAGCAGCTGGTGCACAGCTCTTCGCTTCGGGACCCGGAGAGCTTCTGGTCTCGACACGCAGAGCAGCTCTCCTGGCACCGGAAACCATCCCATGTGATCAGCCGACATTCCAAAGTTCTTCCCAGCGGTGCGAGCCACGACCATTGGTCCTGGTTCCCCGATGGGGAGATCTCGACGACCTACAATTGCGTGGACCGTCACGTGGAGAATGGTAACGGCGACAATGTTGCTATCATTTGGGACTCCCCGGTAACGGGGACGAAAGAAAAATATACTTACCGACAGCTATTAGAGGAAGTGGAGGTCTTGGCGGGTGTATTACGAGAAGAAGGAGTGCGCAAGGGTGATGTAGTCATTATTTACAGTATGACACCTAAATATTTTCGCTCTTGCCCTAGTCATTTTTGGCGCTCCTAGGTACGAATGATGTTGACTATTTCCAGTGCCCATGATTCCAGCCGCGCTCATTGCCGCCCTGGCGATTGCCCGACTGGGGGCAATCCATGCGGCCGTGTTCGGAGGGTTTGCGGCCAAGTCCCTCGCGCAGCGGATTGAAGCTGCCAGGCCACGAGCCATCATGACGGCGTCATGTGGTATAGAAGGGTCGAAGGGCCCTGTTGCCTATAGACCATTAGTCGAGGGGGCTATTGAGGCAAGCAGCTTTAAGCCTGAAAGGGTCATTGTTTGGCAAAGAGATCAGCTGCGGTGGAATCGACCCGATAAGCTGGGGGGACAGCGCAACTGGCAGCGGTTGGTCAAAAGCGCACGCATGCGTGGCATCAAAGCCGGACCGGTACCTGTGGCTAGCACGGATGGATTGTATATAATATATACTAGCGGTATGATCCAATGCCTTGGAAATGATGTTTCGTTAATTAATATAACTAACAAAAATACTCAGGTACCACCGGATTGCCAAAGGGAGTTGTTCGAGAAGCTGGCGGACATGCAGTAGGATTGCATCTATCTATTAGGTATCTGTTTGGCATTCAGGGTCCAGGTGATGTAATGTTCTGCGCTTCTGATATCGGGTGGGTAGTCGGCCACTCCTACATCCTATACGCGCCTCTTTTGGTTGGCGCAACCACAGTACTCTTCGAAGGAAAGCCTGTTGGAACCCCAGATGCGGGAACATTCTGGAGGGCTATCGAGGAACACAAGGCCAACGTCCTGTTCACAGCACCCACGGCCATGCGTGCCATCCGAAAGGACGATCCAGACAACAAATTCTTCGAGGAGGTGGCCCGTCGTGGTGGCCTGAAGCATTTCAGAGCTCTTTTCCTCGCCGGCGAGAGGAGTGAGCCCAGTATTGTCCAGGTGTATCAGGATCTTCTATCCCGTTATGCCGCCCCTGGCGCCATGGTCGTAGATAATTGGTGGTCATCCGAATCAGGATCGCCCATCTCCGGACTGGCGCTACGAAGCACAGCTGGAATGACCTTGGGCGATGATAGGGAACTAGGGCCGCCGTTGGCTATTCGACCAGGGTCGGCCGGATTGCCAATGCCGGGATTTGACGTTCGGATTGTTGATGATGAAGGCCGAGAAGTTCCCCGAGGGACGATGGGCAACATCGTCCTAAGTATGCCATTGGCCCCCACGGCCTTCACTCGATTGTTTAATGACGACGAGAGATTCTACAAGGGATACCTCAAGCGCTTTTCGGGTAAATGGATGGACACAGGGGATGCAGGTATGATTGACCAGGATGGGTACATTCATGTCATGGCGCGATCGGACGATATCATCAATGTGGCAGCGCATCGGTTTAGTACAGGTATGCATCTTTAATACTGGGCCTGATCTCACATCAACTCACATGGTTTGATACAGGCGCAATTGAACAGGCCATTCTGTCACATCCCGAGGTCGGCGAGGCCAGCGTTGTTGGCATACCGGACGCACTGAAGGGACACCTTCCTTTTGCCTTTATCCAGCCACGGACTGCTTCTGGGCCCCTGCCAGCGATACCTACGCCGGAGCTGTTCAACGCGATCAATCAACGGGTCCGTGAGCAGATCGGAGCAATCGCATCCCTCGGAGGCATGATACAGGGACGCGGGATGATCCCGAAGACGCGCAGCGGTAAGACGTTGCGGCGAGTATTGCGGGAGCTGGTCGAACACGGGGTGCGCGGGGATTATGGGGCCCCGGTGAGCATACCGCCGACAGTGGAGGACGCCGAGGTGGTGGAAATAGCGCGAAGCAAAGTGCGAGAGTACTTTGAACAGAAGCAGCAAAGCCGAGCCAAACTGTAGATGGCCAGCAAGCAAGAGCTGCACAGCCTCGGATACCAGCATGTCGAGTGGGAAAAGCAAAGCAAGGGCAGGTTACTCTACAGCTTCTCTCGGAATGCACAAAATCTGTATAAACCGTAATGAACTATTATAAAAGTCTGTAAGGTATACACAGGAAGGTCGAACGAACTTCCAGGAGGCATTAAAGCCATCAAAAGATCAATATTAACAGAAAAAAGCCGTAGAGAGATATCAAAGAAAATACAATATGTATGGTATCGGTCGTATCACCAGTAAACAGTGGTCTAGACACTCCAACAACAGTTCAAAAAAGAATTTAATAACTCCGTCATCATAGTCAAGTACATCTATGCGATATGTTCCCACCTGCGGAGAATGCAGGCGACATATGGATCGCAATCATGACGACGGACGCCGAGAATAAAGACTGAAAAGGGGGTAATAGAGAAAATGCAATCAATCCGTCCATCCGTCGAAGTTTAAATCAGTCTACAGCAGAACTGCAGCGAGACCAAAGACGGTCGCAAGACCGGCACCGGCGCCAACAGCCGCGCGAGAGCCACCGCTCGTGAAGAGAGGGACAGCGGGGGTGGTAGCGGAGCCGGTAGGGGAGACATCAGAGGGACCGGAAGCAGAAGGAGCAGGAGGAGCGTGGGTGGAAGCCGGGTGGGTGGTCGAAACCAGAGGGGTGGAGGAGATGACGATGCTGCTGCTGCTAGGGCGCTTGATGATGGAGGAGCTGCTGCTAGGGCTAGGAGTAGCCTTGGAGCTGCTGGGGACGCTGGGGACGGGGACAACGGGGATAACGGGGGAGCTGGGGGTGGAGCTGCCGACAGGGTTGACGCCAGTGGGAGTGCCAGCAGGAGGGGCAGTGCTGGAGCTGGGATCTTGTAAGCTTGATGATCTATACGAGGGTGCTGATATATAACATACCACTTGTTGCACTCAGTCACGGTCGAGGTGATGAGAGGGCGAGTAGTGGTGTAACCCTAGTATCTGATCAGTATAATCCTACAATTGAAATACCGCGACGGCGAGAGTGAAGAGAATCTGGGAACATACAGCAGGGATGCTGATAGACTCGGTGGGAGAGACACCGATGGCATCGGTGGATTTAGGGCAGTAAGTGGCGGTTTCGGTAACGATAACAGTGCTCACTTCCTCGGCGACGACACCAGCGGCCACAGCGGCGAAAACAGCAGCGACGGAGAAACGCATTTTGTCTAGATTTGTTGTTTCTGTCCAAAGAATGGCGAATTGAAATTAGCGGTTGGATGTGTTTTTTTTTTTTGTTGTTCTCCCCGAAGGTAAAGAGTGACGTGAAGTAAAGAATGTACTCGGTAGGGACCGGAATAAATGTATAGTGATTGACAGACTTGGGGGTGGGAAAGGAAAGGGAGGAGAAGGAGAAAAGAGAGCGTGAGAGACTAATTAATATAATAAATTGAAACAAAGGAGACTAGAGTAACTAACGTTTGATTACATCCTACTTCTGTACTAGTCGTCGACGGACAACCATCGATGGTGTACACAAACTGTGTGTGGCAATTACATCGGAGACCTCTCAGATTGGATGATCGATCCCGCGCGCCATATCCACTTAGATCCACTGTTATGCACACATCCAGGTACCAGGCACAAACCCCCTTTTTCTTTCCAATTTTAATGGGGTTCTTGTACTCCACGTTCTTCACCGCGTGTTCCTGGCAGTAAATAGGTACTTACGTACGTGTTTGTTTGTTTGTATGCTTGCTTGCTTGTTCGAGGTTGCGCAATTTTGGTCGGAGAATACTATCTATCTCATATTGCTTTGTGAGACGAGTCAAGACAATTAGGAGCTGAATGCCGCAAGGGCTCTTCCTCTTCAACTTCCTGGCTGATCACCTCATCTATCCATACATACAGACAGAGTCATAGAACCCAGTTCCCCCGTACCCAACAGAGTTTTCTTCCTATCCGCCCTGAGGATCATTGCCCGGTTCAGTGACCACCTGGGGCCCAACTCTAAGATATGGTCTATCATTCGTTCAGCAGCACCCAATGGCAACTTTCTCGGCGACGCAATTATTGAGATTGCCCTCCTGTTCTATTTTTTGCGTTGCTTGGATCCAGTCAGGGTCCAAAGCGTGAAGCGAGCACAGGCATCAATCACCTGTACATCGACTAAGCACTATCCGAACGTCAGGAATCCAGACGGTCATGAGTTGGCAAAATCACCAACTGACGTGTCTGGTCAATCTCTGTATCTTACTCAGTAACAAGGACTTATTTGAGTGTAAGATGTCCTGCAAGGCACAACTACACTATGACCAGACCGGCAATATCATGCTGTTACTATCCTGAATAACCTCAAACTCTCGGTAAAGATCACCCAGTCTAGACCCCATGACTTCTTGAGCTATTGCATGGCTTCTGCGCAACCAGGGCAGAGAGAGAGACTACTCTCCGTACTTGCTGTAAATATGATTTGTGATCGACAGATTGACATTGAGACTAGACTACTGCTAACGACATGGGTGCCCTGGACAGCACTGGCGATCGAGTCGAGACCCGGCATCTCAAAACAAGAGAAGGCAAAGCAGGCAACACAGACTATTAATTGCATATCATAATCATTATATGATATAGAGTAGATGATATATTCCATCAATCCTATCGTCTTCGTCGGCATATCCAGCATAACACAACCTCCAATCCGATCGTTCATTGTCCCAAAATGGATGGTGAACGGCGGGACACTTCAGCATCGCCCGGGAAAAGCCAGCAGAGCCGTCCTTTCCACGAGAACTGACAAGTTAAAACCTTTTCTTCATCTTGGATTTAGTTGTGTGAAGAAAAAAAGAAGAAAAGGAAGGGGGTCGGAATCTGAAAGTCCATAAAAAAATAAGCGAGCGGAGATGGAATAACTGTTAATACGATTGCCGGAGATGCTAACCCGAAAAACGACTAGTGAGTTGCTTTCCGCGGGCAACGGCAATCACCGCGCGGTTAGTTGTCCGATGATAGGACAGCATACGGCGGTTCATCCTCCATTACTTCTCATTAAATTCCGATCTATTTCCCCTCTCCCTTCTTTTTGTTCGATTGTAGACTCGTCTTGTCTATTGTAAGCAAGTACGACAGGAGATTCAAAATGCTGAGCCGCTGTGGTCGCCAGGCTTTGCGATTGGTCCCGCGCACTGGAAGCTCTGCCAGAGCTGTCGCCATCACTACTCAACTCCGACCGGCTGCTCCCTTGCGCGCCTCCAGCTCAATCTCTCAGAGCCGGAGTGTGTCATCCTCCAGTCGCGATGGACAGCAACATGTATGTGCCCTTTACTCTCGATCGCCCCGAGAAGATTGAACAAACGCGCGCAGATGTGGTGAAGTCCCATGCTAACGTCATCTCCGCAGTTGCTCTCCGCACACCTCGAGGAGGAGGACCCCACAATCTACAATATTCTCCAGAAGGTTGATTTTCCCCATTGCGAAGTGGTCCCACTGCTGTGAATAGTAGTACTAATGTATTTTTGCAGGAGAAAAACCGTCAAAAGCACTTCATCAACCTGATCCCTTCAGAGAACTTCACTTCACAAGCGGTTCTTGATGCCCTCGGCAGTGTGATGCAAAGTCAGTCCACCACTCCGACCTATGTGCACTGCTCCCAACTAATCAGCTACCAGACAAGTACTCCGAAGGTTATCCCGGTGCCAGATACTACGGAGGAAATGAGCACATTGATGCGTCAGAGAGGTTATGTCAACAGCGTGCCTTGGAGACCTTCCGACTCAACCCAGAAGAATGGGGCGTGAATGTTCAACGTAAGCTTTCCCCGGTTAGCGTGGAATATTGGAGTCGTGGTTAATGGTTGAACAGCACTCTCCGGTTCCCCCGCCAACTTGTATGCCATCTCCGCCCTTCTCAACACTCATGACCGCCTGATGGGCCTCGACTTGCCTCATGGTGGTCACTTGTCACATGGTTACCAAACTCCAACAAAGAAGATCTCATTCATCTCGAAATACTTTGAGACTCTTCCTTACCGGCTTGATGAGTCCACTGGTCTCATTGATTATGACGCTCTCGAGAAGCAGGCGCTGCTCTATCGTCCCAAGCTCATTATTGCCGGTACTTCGGCCTATAGCAGATTGATCGACTACCCTCGGATGCGCCAGATCGCAGACGCAGCTGGTGCATACCTCCTCAGTGATATGGCTCATATCTCTGGTTTAGTTGCTGCCGATGTACTTCCCTCGCCTTTCACTCACTCTGATGTGGTGACAACGACTACTCACAAGTCCCTGCGTGGGCCCCGTGGTGCCATGATCTTCTACCGCAAGGGTGTCCGCCGGACGGACAAGAAGGGTAACCCGGAAATGTATGACTTGGAGAATCCTATCAATGCCTCCGTCTTCCCGGGCCATCAGGGTGGCCCTCATAACCACACCATTACCGCTCTAGCAGTTGCGCTGAAGCAGGCTCAGTCGACCGAGTTCAAGTCTTACCAGGAGACTGTCCTAGCCAATGCTAAGGCATTGGCTGACCGCCTTGGCAGCCCTCTCAACAACGGGGGTCTGGGTTACAACATTGTGTCCGGTGGAACGGATAATCACCTGGTCCTCGTGGATCTGAAGAACCGTGGGGTTGACGGAGCTCGTGTTGAACGTGTTCTAGAGCTCTGTGGCGTTGCTAGTAACAAGAACACCGTTCCGGGAGATCGGTCCGCCTTGAAACCCGGTGGTCTCCGCTTGGGTACTCCTGCCATGACTACTCGTGGCTTCCAGCCCGAGGACTTCCGTCGTGTGGCCGATATTGTTGACCGCGCGGTCATCATCACCCAAAAGCTGGACAAGGTTGCCAAGGAGAGCGCTGCGGCTAAGGGCGTTAAGAACCCGAACACCGTCAAGGCTTTCCTGGAATATGTTGGCGAGGGCGAGGAGATTTCAGAGATTGTGCTCCTGCGGCAGGAAGTCGAGGACTGGGTAGGAACATTCAGCCTTCCTTGGAAGGACGAGTAACCGGCTTGTCTACGAAGAACTATGAGATAAGGCACTGGTCGGGTTTAAATCAATTATCACGGGAGTTATACGAGCATTGACCTTAACGTTTTCATCTTGCTATTTGATGTCTGTATGTACCATGTACAAAAATTTATTCAAAGCCACTTGAAGCCTCGGTATCCGGTAGGATTGAATGCAGCGGAACCATTAACCTATCATGGACAAGTGTCCCGGCTTGGCAGTCGTTATCTCCTTCCCAATTCTAGGTTGTAAATAACGTGGAGTTATGTACTTCCGGCCATCGGTATGTAGGGACTCGGGAGCCTGAATGATGTGAGTACTACTAGTAGTATCCCTGTTAAGCGCAAGCGCTAGCTCAAAGTTTACCGGTAAAAACTATTGATACCTCCACCTCGCCCAACGACACCTGCAACTTTCTCAGGTATTCCAGACAAAGCAAACAGGCTCACGCCATGGAAATCAGTCAGGTAAGGAGCCGTCCAACATCATTTTCCCCAATCGAATACCATGATACTCATTTCCTTAGCTGTACATATACCCCATCAAATCCCTTCGGGAAGTAGCCGTTCCCGAGGCTGTCCTCACCAGTACCGGCTTTCAGTATGACCGGTGTTTCATGTTGCTCAAGGTCAACCAAAACGATGATGGTGTCGAAACCCTCCAGAACATGCATGTACCGCATTTCCCCGAAATGAGTTTGTTTCTAACAGACATCGTATTCCCAACTGAGGGTGAGAACAATGGAAAGATCATCGTGACATATCGCCCACCAGGAGTGAAAGACAATGGTAATCCTCAGGTTAAAACTTTGGACATACCATTAAAGCCAGACGTGCAGGGGTTGGAAGAATTGACAGTTACAATGCATCAAAGTCCGACAAAGGGTTATCATATGGGCAGCAAATATAACGACTGGTTTAGCCAATGTTTCGGGTACAAGGTGGTTCTTGTATACTTGGGCCCACATTTGAGGAGGGTCTTAGGAAGCTTCCCACCGGGGAAAAGTCAGGCACATCGTGAACAAGTGACTCCACTTGTTTCTAAGCGGTCGGTGACCGTCTTGGCTCTTCTGAGCTTGCTTCTGAATATCAGTGTGCCACTTGGACAGAGAGACATTACCTCGTTCATTATCTTTGTACTAATGACTACAACTGTTGCTGTTCTCATGGCTCTTGGTGCTAATAGATACGGAGCTGGAGGCGGTAAAACGAAGGAAGAAAGAATCACGTTTGCCGATACAGCACCGTATCTTATGATATCAGAAACTTCGGTAGACAACGTGTCTGCCCGCTTGGCTGGCGACGAGACGATGGACCTGAGAAAAGCCCGGCCAAACATTGTCATTTCGGGTGCTAGAACCGCTTTCGAGGAGGATTTCTGGGCGGAGCTGATGGTGGGAGAAAAAATCCGACTCCTGTTGACGGCGAATTGTATCCGATGCCAGAGCCTCAACGTTGACTATATGACAGGGAAAATGGGAACAGGAGACAGTGGCAGCATTTTTAAGAAGCTGATGAAAGACCGGAGGGTAGACAAGGGCGCAAGATTCTCCCCTGTGTTTGGGAGGTATGTGTTCCTAGACCGGGACTGCGAGAACGCCTCCATCCGGGTCGGAGAAGAGGTGACTGTATCCAGAAGGGTGGAGGAGCGGACAACATATGGTAAGCATGGCCTTCGATTTGCGAACTGGCTCCATTGACCTGTGATTACTGATTATGTCCAGATTGGCCTGGCCTGACGAATTGAGTTGTAATTTACGTGTAGTCCTTTTCGGTCTAGTGTTTCGTGGCGGCTCAGGTCGATATATAGAAGCTAGTATTCAGTGCTTATCAGCGGTTAGATACGTTATTCGACTTGTGTTCCGTCATTATACACTGAATGATGAGTAGTAATCAGATCCAGTGACGGTGCCAAGACATTTGGCATTGCATTATCAATCTCCTCAACCTTCAGCAATCATAGAGTTTATCTTCACCTTTATCCATAATCGCGCAGTCATAATGAGCGAATTCCCACCGTCGAGTCTTCAGCCCCTTGTCCAGGAGGTTTTTGAACTTCTCAAAGCGAAGAAGGAGACGATATCCGTTGCGGAGACGGTATGTCGTCATCTTAGTCCCGTAGTCCTTCCCGGCTTGCTAACCTTCCAGGCCGCTGGCGGACTCATTTCAGCAAGCCTGCTCTCTGTTCCTGGAGCGTCAGCTGTCTACAAGGGTGGTTTGACTGTTAGTCTATCCGATATTACCATCCTTTGATCCAAAAATTATACTGCAGCATAAAGATTGACATGACAATCAAGGTATACACCCTGGAATCTCGGATCGCCTTTGCCGGATGGACTCCGGCTCATCTGGAAACCTATAATGGCCCAACGCCCGCTATTGTGGCCCAAATGGCCGACCACGTTCGCCACACTCTCGGTTCCACCTATACAGTGAGTGAGAGTGGAACAGCCGGGCCGACCGGCGGGACGACGAGGAATCGCACTCCGTAGGAATTCTATCCGTGATTTCAAGCAGAAGAACATTGAGGCAAGGCTAATGACTCGCAGAGGCTACGTAGCTGTCGCAGTATCAACTGCACATGGAACGTACACACGAGAAGTGGAGACGGGCAGTAACGATCGGCAGAAGAACATGGTTACCTTTGCTGAAGAGAGTTTGAAGTTGTTGAAGGATGTGCTTGTTGGGAAGGCAAATCTATAAACCACCGGGACACTTCCTGTGGTTTGTGCTTAAAGATAAAAAAAGACTAGGATGAGACAATAATTCTTCCTTTTCTATCGCATGGAATTCGCGACCCATGGTTTAAACCTAAACCCACTTTAGCTAGTAAACTTGGTCTTCATCTCGTACTCTCGTATATGACCTGGATTGACTTCATTCTAGCGTCTTTCTGGAACATGGAACTGAGTAGGTAATCTGTACGCTGGATGCCTTATTTTCTTGAGGTCATCAAGGTACTATAGTATCACACGGAGTACTCCTAGTACTAGTACCACAGCCCCTATGACGCAGCTGAGCACCGCCACATTCCCCGTGACACCCCACCAATTGTCATTGTTGAGTCTGACTAAAGCACTCGAACGGCAATAGGTGGAAAGCAGAGTGGAAAATCAGCCCTAGCCCAAGAACAGTTCAAACCTAATCTTACTGGTCACTGGTTCGTTGATTCTGCAGTCACGGTAAGACACTCATGGAAAAGATCCTTTTAAATCTTCTTTCACTCCCACTACAAAGTATACTATACCCCTCCCAAATTCACTTTACAACCAGATTTTATCTCTCACTCTCCCGAGAATACCTCCGGTCATTTGTCTTGTCCAATACATCCCGGTGACTTCGTGCTTTTCCTCGATCGGTTTCGTCATCTGCCGCCCACATCGAGCGGATCAGGCGCCCATATATTCCCGCTCCCTGTTTGGGTGTCTCCAGCCCACCAAGGGATTGGCACAATGGATACGACAATCCTTCGTCGCAAAGATACCACCAAGGGTCCTCCCTTGCGGATCTTATCATTAGGTATGCTTTCGGTTCCAAAGAAACCTGGATATAGATCTTCGAGCTGACAATTCAGATGGTGGCGGCGTCCGCGGCTACTCGATGCTCATCATCCTCCAGGAACTTATGTATCGCGTTTATGTCGAATGCGAAGGCAAGGCTCCTCGTCGCGATGAAATCCCCAAACCCTGCGATCACTTTGATCTCATTGTCGGCACCGGCACCGGCGGCTTGATAGCTCTCATGCTGGGCCGTTTACGGCTCGATCTCGAAACCTGCAAAGAAGTCTATGTGCGCATGACCCGTCGCGTTTTCGAAACGGATAAGACCTTCGCTGGAATTCCTTTTCGGTCAACCCTGTTCAAAGCCTCGAGATTGGAGGATGCTATTCGTGAATGTGTGCGTGAGCACACCGTTTTCGAGGCGGAGGGAAATGACATGGCGCCCGGCGCTCGCACATCTTTTGCCCACACGCCATTCAGCCCCAACTCGATCCCCCAGCGCTCCGGTAGCCGTGCCAGTTTCAGCACCGTTGGTTCGCATTCCTCCAATCCCAGTCAGCGGGATTCGACATTCATCAATGGTCTACGCTGGGGTAATCCAAATGCGTTGTTGTACGACAATCGGGAGTATCGCACCAAAACGTAAGCTCTCTTTCTCCTATGCCTTGATTTTTCGTCCTCTCTTATTGTATGTACTTTGGGCTAACATACGATGTCAACAGGGCGGTCACAGCATTGTATAAGGGCACTACGCGCAACGGATCCGCTGTATTCTTACGATCTTACGACTCCCGAAAGGAACCCCCTCCGGAGTTCAACTGTACGATCTGGCAAGCTGGTCGGGCAACGTCAGCCACTGGGCTTGCTTTTAAACCAATTCAGATTGGACAACATGTCTTCATTGACGAAGGTGCCGGCACCTATAACCCTGCACCGCAGGTCCTGGACGAAGCGACAGTCAACGAGTGGCCCGGTCGCGAAGTTGGAGTATTTATAAGCGTTGGTACAGGTAAACGTCCGCCGGGTACGAATAATCGACAGCATGAATGGTGGGAGGACTTCTTTGGCGATGCGCTGGGTACATTTGCAGAGGCGCGCCGTCGGCTGATCTCTAAGATCGAAGGGTGTGAAGATATCCACAAAGATATGCTCCGGGAGCATTTGGCCAAGCGTAACGTGGTTAAGGATAACTACTACCGGCTGAATGTCGAAGTCGGTGTGGGGGAGTTTGGTATGAACGAATGGAACCGACTGGCGGACATCAGCACCAACACTCGTCGCTACCTCACCAGGCCTGAAGTGAAGAAGCAAATTCTTGATGCTGGCGTCAAGTTTGCTAAAATTGAGCGCATGCACCGTCGGGCGGCAGCGCATGCGGCAGCTGGGAATGATATGTCCAATTTCCAGGATGACAGTTCTATAACTCAGAGTCCAAGGCTGTCTGTGGTGCCGCCTCCAATCCCAGATGCGGTGGAATTGCCCGCTGAGCTGCCGGGCGATTTTACCTTGCTGTCACCAGCAGGGCCGCCCCCACTACCGATGAACGACGATGTACTCCCAACTCATCCAATGCCGCAGGATGCAGGTTCACAAACACCAGCGCGGGGTTCAGTCAGTGACCTGAGCGACATCAGCCGACCTAGCTCACAACAGCACGGGTCTCCGCGACGAAGTACCGATCATGTGCATAATGGCATGCCGCCACCAGTACCTCCAAAGACCCCAATTCCGTACCCCAGCGAGTTGGGAGGAATTCCAATGCCTACCCCATTGGTAACCACGGCGGGTCCTCTGGGACACGGTTCGAATGGGAAGATTCGGCCGCCCTATCCAGTGGATGAGCATCCACCTGTGGTCAACAAGCAGCGAAAACCAAGTTACCACGTGCGATAAGTCTGCTTTCGAGTCTAATTTTTTTTTTTTTTTCCTTCTTCGTCGTTTTCGTGTTTCTTGATTTGTTCAATTTGAACGTCACGAAGTACCCGCATGTTCTTGATGGGCATCATGTATAATGATTGGGTTTTTTTTTCTCTAGGTGCAGAGAGAGATTCATAGTTTTCCTGGTTTCCTTTTTCTACACTTTCTTCTTTATTTTTGTTTTCTTAAAGGAGCTTCCTTACAACTGTGGTTGTGGTTCAAGTGTGATGATGATGAGCATTGTTATTATACCCTTTAAGTTAATCTCAGATTGGTTCCGGAGATTTAATATTTAGCGAATGGTTCCCTAGGAGATCTAGACTCCGGCTGGATTCCTTATCATGAATCATTACCGATGCATGTCTACCTCATATTTCAATGTAGTAAAAATCAAAGGAAAACCACAAAGGAGGAAGTGGTAAGTAATTACTGTCTTTTATGTGTAAAGAATTATCCAGTTCATTGTAGAAAAGTAGAAAAGTAAGAAAAATAAAATACCAAATCAAAAATTAAGAGATCAAGATTCGTCATTTTATCTTGTAGTATATCGGATGGTAGTGGGTCACGCTTCTGTTCCACCCGCACCCAGCCTCTCGCTTTCTTACTTGCTTCCTTTCGTACGAGGTTTTCTTATTTGTTCCCTAGGCTCTGCCTAGCCTTTCTTCTTCTCGCTCCTGGAATTATTTTTTGGTCTCTTGCCCCTTACTTCATGCATGTCCTTAGAATAAACTCTGACACATTCCCCGGCGCCTATCAACCACGCATTCCATCCCTGCCCTCTCTATCTAACCTTCGAAGCGCCCAGTCAAAACCTTTATCGCCGCCAGCACAAGTCGCTTCCATGGAGTAGCGGTCGTTTCGCGCCGATTCTATTTTTATTCGACTATTCATATATATCGTCGTGTACATATTCCCTCAACGCAGATAACAAAACACACTGCTGGCAGTGTTCATGCGCGCTTCCGTTACACATGGATTTTTCAACTCTCGAGGCTCGCTCCGATTCAGGGAGCGGTCGACCGGCTTCCTACAAAGCCATCGGTATTTCTTTGGCTGTCGCATCGGGTCTATTCATTGGTGTATCGTTCGTACTCAAGAAGACGGGTCTGCTGAGGGCCAACGTCAAATACAATGAGGAAGCCGGCGAGGGGTACGGATACCTGAAAAACTTCTACTGGTGGGCGGGTATGACGCTGATGATAATCGGGGAACTTTGCAACTTCGTCGCTTATGCCTTCGTTGATGCGATTCTGGTCACTCCGCTGGGTGCGCTGTCGGTTGTGGTGACGACGATCCTATCTGCTATCTTTCTCAAGGAACGGCTGAGTTTCGTCGGTAAGGTTGGCTGTTTTACCTGCATTCTCGGATCTGTTATCATTGCGATGAATGCGCCTGAGCAGTCGTCCGTAAGCAACATCCAGGAAATGCAGAAATATGTTATCACTCCCGGGTTTTTGTCGTACGCCGGCGTTATCATCGTGGGTAGCATTATCACGGCTGTGTGGGCTGGGCCTCGATACGGAAAGAAGAGCATGTTCGTCTACATTAGTATCTGCAGTTCTATCGGTGGGTTAAGCGTAGTCGCTACACAAGGACTGGGCTCGGCCATTTTGGCACAGATCAACGGGGAATCGCAGTTCAAGCATTGGTTCCTCTACGTCTTGTTTGCGTTCGTCGTGGCGACTTTATTGACAGAAATCATTTATCTCAATGTTCGTCCCCACATAACTTCACTCCTCCTGCTGGTTTCTTTCTTCTCTCTTGAAATTTTACTAACGCCGCCCAGAAAGCGTTGAACATCTTCAATGCCGCCCTAGTCACCCCCACCTATTACGTCTTTTTCACCAGCGCCACGATTATCACTTCAGCAATCCTCTTCCAAGGCTTCAAAGGGACCGGTATGCAGATCGCTACAGTCATCATGGGCTTTTTGCAGATCTGCGCCGGTGTCGTCCTCTTGCAGCTCTCCAAGTCCGCCAAAGACGTCCCCGACTCTGCTGTCTTCAAAGGCGACCTGGACCAGATCCGTGAGGTGGCCACACAGGAAGAACCAGAAACTGAGCCCAAGGCCGATTCTATCCGTGGTACTGCCGCTATTATTCGTAGGATATCGACACCACGCCGTACGATGGAGGCAGAGGAGGCACGACGCTATTTAAGAGAACGACAAGAAGATAAGCTACGCCCGCCTGCAGAGAACGAGATCATCGAGTGGGATGGATTGCGCCGGCGCAAGACTGTCCTCGGTGAAGGACCAACAATGACCCGGAGCGCAACTCGCACACCGTCAGTTAAGAGACCGCTTCCCCCATTGGGAATGTCCCGGTTTCCAGATGAATCAGAGCGCCCCAATACCAGGCAAAGCGGTCATTCTTTCTTAGATGAGATACGAATGCGGTCACCGAGTCATTCGTGGCAACCAATTCGAGACCATGATCCTAGTCAACCGGCGGCTTTGGCGCCTATGTCGTCAATCCATAGCAGAAACGTCGACACAAGTTATCCCGGACCACCTCGAAGTGACACATCTCATTCTATAACATGGGCAGACGAACCTCCTGAACCTCCGGTACATGGTTCTAAACGCCAATTTTCATTCCATGCTTTCCACCGACCCAAGTTTGAAATGCCTAAGTCTCCTCGGGGCATCTTGCGGAAGGGCCATGAGCGTAAACCCACGGAAGAGGAACGTTTAGGGCTGGTTCGAGGAGACTCAAGGGACGATACTGGTGAGAAACTGGATCGTACATATTCAAATGATAGTATGGAGGACGAATTGCCATTAGGTGCACATACGTTTGCCGCAGCGCCGCCATACGAAGAACATCACTTCCACCCAGTCGAGGCTAGCCCACCGCGGCCGTCCCGGCTTATACGGAACCCCCTGCCGCCATTGCCAGACGAACCGCCTCTAGAGCCCTACACTCAGGTCGAGCTTGGTTTGCCTAGCTACCGCCGCATGTCTGACGCAAGCGCAGGGTCGCTGTCATCGGGCCCAAGCAGGGGTTGGGAGGGAGGATGGCGACGGCCTTCGAGCGATGGTGAGACAAGGGGTGGGCCAAAGGGTGCTCTTACGTAGACATGCTTGTATGATAATGATAACGATGTATATATAACATAACGACTTGATTCATGAGGGTATCACAATACATGACCTTAAAAACATCCGAAACCATATCAGATCCCAGTAAAAGACAGAACACTCCTTTGCCCCTTTGGCATAATATCCATTGCAAATCTAGCCTCAGACAACCGCTTCCCAGCTTCGATACTCTCCAGGGCCCTATGTATTATAGTCAGCACCAACCACACCAAAACCCGGAAAGATAAAGTACCATTCAACGAACACGACCCTGATCCCTTTCCACCCACCCCGGGAGATCTCCTTCTGTAACTTCGAAGCCGCAAGTCCCCCACCGGCACCCATGCCAGGCCCGGTATTAGGCTTCGCAACAATAACATGGGAGACCTTCCTCGAAAGCGACAGCGAAACGGCAGCACCATGCATGGTCAGGAGCCGTTTCAAATAGTGATCTGAGACAGCCGGATGACAAGTGCTGTTAATATAAACCGTAAGGCCCTTAAAAACCAGCGGTACATCCTTGACCTCGGTCGACAATGACGACGACGACGACGACAACAACAACTCATCCGGTGACGCATTCACAACTTTCGAAACCTTTAACTTCGACTCCCGATCCATCCCCGAGTCAGACACATCCCTCGACCGCTTCCCCACGCGCATCATGGACCGGATATCTCGCTGTCCTGCTGCTGCTACTGCTGCTGCTGCTGCATCCCTTGATTCTTCTCCCCGGGTCGTATGAGACCACACCCACTCCCCTTTGTCTGCTTTGTGGTGCGGGGTGCCATCCCCCGGTGAATCTGTACAGTCGCCCGACGCGGAGCCGAACTGTCGAGCCAGTTTCTCTTCTCTTGCTCGACGCCATGCGGTGCCTGTCGATGAATCGGCCCGTTGGTGGCCCGTGGCGCTGCTATTCCAGGGGTCGAAGGTGAGGTGGTTTTGGGGGGTTGGGGTTGGTTTTTTGGGAGGGGGTTGATGTGCGGTGGACATTTTTCTTTTCTGTTTTTTTGCTTTATTTTTCTGGGTTTTTTTTGGGGATGAGGTTTGGGTATGTTATCCCTAGATTTGTAGGGTTTTTGTTGGAAGATAAAAAGTCTGGGTTGCATTATACCCATGGTTCGGTGTTGATGTTTTGCTGTTTTGGGCTAGCTTTGCTTCGCTTCGGGTTTGGTATGTGCTTTAGTGGGGGGTGGAATCGCTCTGGAATTTGGACGTTGGAATAATTGGCATTGCGTCATGGTGGAACAAAAGATAGATGGTCTATGGGCGTATATACATGTAGATGAGAGAATAAAGAAGAAAAAGAAAAAATGAAATTTACCACACATCCTCCTGCCACTTGTTTCTTCTCTTCATTCTCGTCCTCCATTCATTCGCCTCGTCCTGACCCTTCACGCTCATTACTCCCGCAACCGCCTTCTCGACCTCCCTTGCCATCTCGGCCTTTCCACAGATGTAAAAGTTGGCTCCCTCATCGATCAATCGGTAAACATCATCGCCCACTTCTGGGATCTTATCTTGGACGTATTGCTTGTTGCCCTCACGCGAGTACGCGGTGACGATGCGCAACTTCTCTCCCAGCGCCCTCATCATCTCGTCCAGCTCATCCCGGTAGATGAAGTCCTCATCTGGCCTCCGACATCCGAAGATAAGTAGCATCTCACCGACCTCCTTCCCGATCTGCTGGAGCTGTCGACGCTCGGCGATGAATGCCCGGAACGGCGCCAGACCTGTGCCTGCCGCAACCATGATAAGCGGGCACTTAGCCAGGGTGGGGAGCTTGAATTTGCTTTTACGGAGGTGTGAGAGCAGCTTTCCGCCTTGTAGGGAATCGCTTGGTCCGTTAAGATGGTATGTGAGCCCTTCTGGGTGAGGAGCCGAGCGGAGGTTCTCCGAGACCGCGAGGAGGTAGTTGGACGTAACGCCGTGGATCAGTTCGTCTCCATTCTCGGGAACGGGGGTGGTCGAGACCACGACTGTGATGGAGGCCTTGCGCGGGGAGATTATACTGCTTGACGAGATAGAGTAGTATCGTGGTTGCAGGAGAGGGAGTGTTTCGACGAGGTATGATAAGGGGATGTTCCATGTGTCAGTACTGGCTTGTTGCAGCAGTCGGCCGAGGTTAACATGATTCTTGTTGATGTATGCAGCATAGCTAGCCTTATCCTGACCGAGTTGCTGGAGGTATGCTTTTGCATCCGGGGTTGGTGCGAACTGTGCCAGTCCCAGGACATTGTCCCGATTCACGGGACCACAGATCTCGAGATAGTAACGGAAGACAGTGGCGACGGTGGTTGGAGATGGAATCTTTACTTTCGTGGCGGAATCAAGCGACTTGATACTGATAGGCACGTCACGACGCGATGAGAGACCCAGGGCCTGGAGGAGACGCTCCACTTCGGAGTCAGGGTTTCCGGGCCAGATGGCCAGATGATCACCTGTTTTGTATGTGAACTCCGGTTGGCTGGTGAGATCCAGATCTATGTGAAGGCAGTGTCGGTCGGGGGAGTTGAACAGCTCCCGAGATGCGGAGATGGCCAAGGGCCGGATAGGCGAGCACTGAGCCTTAAGGGAGCCTGCGTCCGGCTCTCCATGGTGCAGGTCAATTGGCTCCAGGGATTCGTCCTCTTGTACAGACAAGGTGGGCATGTACTGAACCTCGTGTTCCTGGAAGCCTAGGCCCTTCAGTACGGCAAACAGGCTCTCCTTCCAGGTCATAAAGTCCTCCTGAGTGGCACCTTCGGCATCATCGGCCTTTCCAACCGGCATTACCGCTGTCGCACCTAGTTTATCCAGCGCCTCCACCACGACATCGACGACACGGTTATAGTACTTATAGTTCCTGTTTCCCAGACCGAAGGCAAAGTACCTTACGGACGACAACAGCTGCCCTTGGTCCTTAGTCTTGTTGACCCAATCCCATAACTCCGCCGTGTTATCACTCGGATCTCCCTCACCATATGTGGAGAGGAGGAACCCGACCAGCTTTGACTGTGGAACCTCAGCGATCGTCTCGGGATCATAATCGGACAGGTCTGCCGTCATGGCGCTCAGGCCGAATCGCAAAGAGATCTCTCTCGCCAAGCGGTTGGCGAACCCCTCAGCAGTGCCGGACTGGGAGCCCCAAAAAACGACCATGTCCTTGTTGGACTCTTCCAATTTCGTGGCGATGTTTCGGGTTTCTTTTGTGGCGGAGCCGGCGGCACCTCCATTCTTGAGCTGTGGTCGTTCGTACACGAGATGTTGGTATGGATCCGGCTGGTCCCACAGGTAGCCCCGCGAGAGATATGTAGTAGCTGCCACGGAGAAGATAGCTAGTGCTGAGTAGTCGGCAATACCGGTGGGAGTGAGTGCTTTAGAGAGCTCTTGCAGAGCCTCGGGGGGGATGTTGAGGGGCAGAAGCCACGGGGGCGTCATGGTGTGACTGTGGTGTGACTGTAGTGCAATTGATGGAGAATGTGAAATTCAGTAGGTTTGATAGTCATGAGAGTCAACCGGAGAGGAAAATGGGGGAGTGATGGAAGGCTGAGTCTTATATCCATTGCAAGCAGGTATAGAGAGACATGGTGCAAAACTACCCAAATAGGGAAAAACGACAAGACTCGGAAGCAACATCCCTAATCGAGACCGTCGGTTGTTGAGCATCTTTTTTTTGGCTCCACTTCGCAAAAGTCACGAAAACACGGGCGACATTTCTTGATCCAGCAAATCCACGTTCAAACAGAGTTTATCGTGAGGGCCTCGACATCTGGGGAAATCGGGGAACGTGGGGAAACTCGAATTAAGTTACGATATGATATCAAATTTGCGGAGGCGTGCCAAAGGAGAAAAAGACAAAAAGAAGAAAAGGAAGGGGAAAGCTTCCCTCGCGGGGAATCTTTCTTCTTCAGGCGGAGGTTGATCTTTTAGGGTTATTTTAAGCACTTGATTTGAAGCGCTTTCGATCACGCACGGGGCAGAAAGTGGCCAAAAGGAAAGTGGATCAAAGCCAAGCTGATGTGCGCTGGCCAACACGCGGGGGAATTGAGAGCTTAATATTCAGCGACATCCCGATATTAAATCGATCATGGAAATATACAGATAGTGATCAATAACCTACAGGAAACCCCGACTCTCAGCGCAGAACTTGGAGGTCAGTAGTATCTTGCTCGCTATACCCCAGAGAATATAGGACATCCAGAATGAAAGATTCATTCCCAGGGTTGTTTACGGTAGTATCTAACATTAAACCGGACTTGTCGAAGTAGTAGATTAAAAGTATATATCGGAACTTGCGACTGACCAATGCCGGATATCTCACACATCTATCTAAGGTGACTCTGATATATAATTGGAAGTTATAACTAGTTTCCATTCCCATCAACGCAACAAGAGGATATAATATATTGATACGCTGTAAAGTCTATGCCAGGATAAGAAAGCCCAAATGGCGCAAGATCAAAAGAAAACGGCGATAGGAAGAAGGGAAATCGTGAATACTTTAGACTGTTCATGCCTCCTGCAAACTGCGTCTCCACACCTTAACCGGCATATCCCCCAAGATCAGATTCATGGTCTCCAACCGCTGCAACTCCCATCCGGGATAGGGCAGTGCAAAATCGTACCGATGCACCAGCGTAGCCAAGATCTTAGTCTGCTCCAGATAAGAGATGTTTCGACCAATGCAGGATCTCGCACCCGCCGAGAACGCAATCAAGTATGGTTGAAGAGCCTTGCCTTCTTCCCCGAGCCACCGCTCAGGAATGTACTGGTCTGCCTTGGGGAAGACGCTCTCATCACGGTGTGCTACATATGCGGACATGCTAACCGACGTGTTGCCGGGAACCCATTCGCCCAAGATTTCCATACCCTCTGGCGGAGTTTCACGAGGAAGCCCATGCGAGGTTGGTGGGAAGATGCGAAGAGATTCATCCAAGCATGCACGAAGATACGGGAGGTGCTTTACTTTGTCGTAGGGGGCGACGATCTCGTCCGCGTCCAGCACGGCATCGATCTCCTCTTGAAGCTTTTTCAAGCTCTGTGGGTTCCGAAGGAGCTGATACATGACGTTCGCGATGGCGATGGCGGTTGTAACACTGCCGGCATTCATCATAATGTTCATCTCAGCCACGATCTCACCCCATTCCAAGTTGTTGGCTCGGCCGTTCTTGTCTTCCATCATCGCCTGGAAGAAGTCTTCGAGCTTCTCCCCTGCCTCATACCGACGCAGGCGGTTCATTGATCGACGCCACACGATGTTCTCCCAATTATCTGACGAATTCTGCATCCGATTGAAGAATGGTATCACGTTGACCAGCTTGTTGAGGGTCGGGTACCATTCATAGTTCCACAGAATGAGCGACTGCTTGCGAGCAGTGGGGTAAAGGGCCTCACGGAGGTTGACCTCATATGTGGAGCCGTCCTTTCTCTCAGCAACACAAACATCGCTCCCCGAATCCAGAAAGCCAAGCTTCTCCGAGAGCCCAATATCAGCGATCGCATCGAGAGTGAAGAAATTGGTCCAAGCTCGAAAGTCAACTGTAAGGTCGTTCGGATCCGGTGCTGCCTTACCCGCTGCCACGGCAGCCGAGGGTGCCGCCGTGCATACTTTGTCGAAATGTGCGACAACTTTCTCGACTTTATCACTGACTTTGTGCTCCCATGTCTCCAAGTTCTTGAGCGCATATGCGGATGAGAGGACCTTGCGCTTCCGTGCGTGGTCAGGCTTGTCGACCACATCAGCAAGATGGTAGTGCGTGCCAGCCGTCACAATATAGGAGGGATCCTTGATACACTTGGTGTTGTGTCCATATATATCCTTGATAGCACGTACATCACCGTACGATAGCGCATTAGGTCCGGTTCGAATGACAGGCTTGGTCCTGTGTATTTCCTGAAGCTCCTTCGAGCGGAAACCTCTCGATGCTAACATCATGAAAGGTACCGCAGACATCCCAGAGAAGGGATTCAAGTTGGGGTATTTTCGAAGCCCTGGTGATGTCAGCAGGATGTCTCAAGGGGGGAGGGGGTTTCTTGTCAAACACATACCCTTGGGGTCCCGGATGTACTCTACCCATGGAAAGATAACAAAATACAGAAGGGAAAAGAGGCCCAGCGCAAGCGCATACGGGGCGATAGATAGAGCGGACCACATATTGGGCTTGATGGTCTATCCCTCAGGGCAAGGAGACAATATAAGATGGAAATGAAGAGAGGAGTTGAGAAGAATGATTTCCTGCTTGTCCAGCCATTGTGATACACGAAGCCAGATACTTATATCCAACGGCAACCAAGGAACCAGAGGCAATGGAGTCGTGAAGCGCCTCTGGCGATCGTAAATTGTTACTTTCCATGGGAACGATGTACAAGGACAACGGGGTAAACTTCCCATCATGATCAGGCTGAAGGTGGGCTGCACGTGCGGGAAATATTTCCCTTTTATTTTCCCCCAGCCAGTCATGTGCCAATCGCGATATCATTATAAGAAATCGTGGGGCTCCATCTGGACTTCAACCGAACGTCACTACTCCGCATTTCTCCTGTGGGCTCTCGCCAAAATGGTCAAGGAGCGGCTACTATCCAGTTCGTGTCATTGGATTTGATAGTATCACTAAGTAGAATCCCATGCTGCACGGCATTTGACGCAGTAACCTTAAGGGCACTCGACCAGTGATGGGGCGGATAAACGCTACCAAGGGCTGCAGAGCCTGTAATGGCCTGAAAGGCAACTTCGGGTCTGGGGGAGCCCACATCGGCAGTTCTCCGCCCCATGGAACGCGACGGAATCTGGGGCCAATACCCGTGGTGGGTGAATTCAATGCACTGGCGTGAGGGGAAATATCTACTATATGTATGTTGTTTTTTTTCAGGACTTAGTGGTGGACGGGTGAGTAGCCAGGTTGATTGTACATTCCTCATTCCGCGTTGTCTTCCCTCTATCTCGATTTTTCCCATGTGTTATCCTTTGTCTTGATATATTCCATACCCTAGTTGATCTTATGACACGGTCATGCAATCGATGATGGATTCTGATTCACTGAAAATCTCCGATAATAAAGCGGAGATCTTCCACGACGAGGACCTGGCCTCAATGGGCTTGGATGACTCCATTGAGAAAACGAATCCCGGGAAGGCAGTATGGCTGATTGTCTGTGCAGTGTCTATGGGTGGCTTTCTATTCGGTAGGTGGCACTGGTGGCCTAGTGATGTAGCCTGCTTGTGAATCCCACTAACTGAATGACTCGCCAGGTTATGACACCGGGGTCATTTCTGCCGTACTTGTCAATCTGGGGTCGGACCTGGGGAAGCCACTCAGCTCCAGTGAACAAGAATTGGTTACCTCCATCACCTCCGGAGGCGCTCTGATAGGCTCAGTAGCGGCGGGCATGACAGCCGACAAATACGGCCGCAAACTTGCCATTTACGTAGGCTGTATCATCTTCTTCATAGGGAGCATAATTCAAGCAGCCGCATACTCGCTCCCCCAGATGACCGTTGGCCGCCTCGTTGTGGGCTTCGGCGTCGGCGAGGCCGCGATGATTGTCCCATTGTACATTGGAGAAATGGCCCCGTCACGGTTTCGTGGCCGCCTCATAGTCTTTGACAATATATGTGTCACGTTCGGTCAGCTTGTCTCATACGCACTCGGCGCCGCATTGACGAATGTGGCTTCTGGATGGAGATACATGGTGGGCCTTGGCGCAGTACCTGCTCTATTGCTCATTGCGTTGATGCCATTCTGCCCTGAGACACCTCGCCAGTTGGTCCTACATGGTCGAATGGAAGAGGCTAGGCGTGTGATTGCAAAGATATTTCCACGAGCCACTGACCAGCAGGTCGATGCGAAAGCGAGACTAATTCGACATTCAGTTGAGGAAGCTACTGCGTCGATATCTAATAAGAGCCTTGTATGGCAGATGAGGCAGCTGTTTACCGTTGGGCAGAATGTGCGAGCCCTCATAACCGCTTGTGCCGTTATGGCGGGTAGGTGAACCCTCGGGTCTCATCCTTTAGGTTCCCAGCTAATAGCCAGCAGTTTCCCAGCTAGGAGGCTTCAATACGCTTATGTACTACTCCGCCACTCTATTCTCGATGGTTGGGTTTGACCAGCCCACGGTGGTGTCAATAGTGGTTGGAGCCACCAACTTTATATTTGGGTTCCCAAACTTCTTCTTCATTGACCGCTTCGGTCGACGACATATGCTCCTAGTTACTATCCTTGGAATGGCAAGCATCCTTTCAGAAACACAACATCTACATTGAAAGAGAGATCATGCTAATCGTGAGTAGTGCCTATCTTTGGTTGTTGCCTCCGTAGCCTTCCACTGGATTCCAGTGAACCATGACCTCACGGCCGTCGAGACGCGCGAGATGGGCTGGCCTAATATCTTGCTTCTTGTGTCTCTCATCGTGTATATTGCCTTCTACGCGGCAGGTGTGGCCCCGATCTCCTGGGTAGGGACGGAGTTTCTACCTCTCGAAGTTCGTGCATTGGGGACGATGATGAACAGTGTAACCTGCTGGGGCTGCAACATCATTATATCGTCAACCTTTCTGTCCATGATGAAGGGAATGACCCCGAGTGGAGCCTTTGGTTTCTATGCTGGAATTTGCTTTCTTGGATTTGTCTTTGCGATTTTCTGCTATGCAGAGGTCCATAACATGCCCCTCGAGTCGGTCCGTGAGATTTATAACCATGGATTTGGAGTCAAGTATGCACGGCAGGTGCAGAAGGAGCTTCATGAGGCTAGAGATTCCGAGGGGAGCACGGCGTGATGCACCGAAGCGTCCGTCCTACTATACCACGCCTGAGCAACCAGCTGACGGCTTGCCCATACGTTGAATCGCTTTGTGAGGGCTTACAATTCAAATGGCCATTTAGAGTTTTAGATGTCTAGAGAGATCCGCTGGGGTTAGACACTTGCTGGATGCAGGGATTCCGGGTCATTGCTTTTACTTCGTATATAGATGTAGCATAGATCAAATGCAATGCAGTTCTCCGAGATGAAAATCCCTGCCCGAGCCTATGGCGCTGCACAGGACAAGAATAAGCTATACATGAGCTATGCAGTATAGATTCCTGGATTACGAGTATGCAGTGATTAACCCTGTATTGACAGACAGCAGCAGTTGAATCTCGATGGTTGACATCCAGGCTAGGATATACATTGACATACAGATATACACATGTAGCAGTATACATATATCGGTACTGTACGTACATACATACATGTATAGACTTGCTCAGACCATTGCCAATGCTCAAGTACAACAGTGATGCAGAGTATCTCTCGACGACGACCCAAACATGTATGAATTCAATTGATCTCGGGGGGGCAAGGCGAATTCCTACGGCCCCCAATTGTCAGGCTGCCCCCAAGGCATCTATCTTACCCATCGGACGGCGGCACAGTCCCCATGTTTCAAGTGTACTCGAATCTCTACCTTTCTTTAGTAACATCATCGACCAACGCACATGACACAGTCGCGTCGCACACAACATTCCACAGCTCCACCAAATCACGAACGACATCCCCATCGACGCGACACAAATGACGGTGAGCGAGAGCGGTCAACCAGAAAAGGGCGTGCTGACAGATCTCAACGGGGAAAGGATTGACAATCAATCTAGTTCGGAATGGGCAGGAGTCCGTATCAGAAACCCTCGTCATCATCGTTTGGCATGCGGATTTATTTTATTTTATTTTTATTTTTTTACTGATTTATTTAAAAGAAAAGGGGAAAAAAAAAAAAAAAAAAAAAAGATACAATATTTTCTTCTTCATCTGGATCATGAATGGAAAGCTTAATACGTCGTTGTGTTCGATTGCTACGTCATGTCCTTCTTTACTGTCTCGATCACTTTTGGATTTCCCTCAGGGCGTCTGACAAGTTTGAGGCGTTGCCTTAGTTAAGCCATGCTACTTATAGTTATATTTTACACATGCATACATATATCTTGAAAGTCTAATTTCCCTTTTTTCTTTTTTTCTTTTTTTGTTTTTACCTTTTCTTTTCTTTCGGGATATGGATTGCATGATCGATTTCCCAGGTGGACATGATCTTGGTACACGAGAGACCTACATGACACCGAGACATGTCCAGGCTGGACAACAATTGAACAGAAAACTGCGAACAGACCGACTGGTGACCCCCGCGCACTACTTTCACTAGTCGTGGTTTCTGCTCGGTTCTGCATTGGAGATCGCGGGTCCATGCGCCGATTTCATCGATGGCCTTTTTTTTACCTGCGTTGGGCTGGTATTGTGGCAAATGCCACTTGATTTCAGATCTGATGGTATCGATTTGATATTTATAGAAAAGAAAGGGTGATCTTAAAATTCAAAAATAATAATAAGAAAAAAATAAGAGAGGGAAAAAAAAAGGAATGAAATGATAAAGGGACCCCAAAACCAGAAACAAAAACCAAAAGAAAAAAAGAAAAAAAAACAATACTAGAAGGTTAGTCCGATTCGTTCCCAACAGTCAGTACGATGTAAGCCCGTTCCCAAAACCCCAAGACAGGCGATCCCGGTCTACACTCGCATATGCACCACGGGTCGCTGCAGCTGAAACCCGGATCCCGTCGAGTTAGAGGGGAAACGGCCCAGGCCCTAAGATGACACTAACCAGATGGACCCATCCGCACTCAGCAAGGAGGGGAGGGAAATTGGGTGAAAAAACGAAGTTGGGGTCTGCTCTTTCGAATCTGCGGTCAGACCTTAGCACTAAACAGTAGTACTAGTACTACGTATCGACCAGGTCTCTTACCTGGGGGTTTTTACTTTTGATTTGATTTGATTTTTTTTTTGTACAAGAAGGACGGTACCAAAGAGGGGGAAGAGGGGGCGAAGAGAAAAGAACTAATGTAGTAGTAGTACCTTTCGGTGGTTTACTATTCGATCTAGTCTAGTACGTAGGATACTACTACTATCCTCTTCGACAAGTACCTCCGAACCCAATCGCATACCGAGGCGGAGAGGAGGGGGGTGATAGGAAGGGAGTTGGTCCAACACATCTTTCCCTCAATCTCTGGTAAATTGATTAAGATTCGATTAAAATAGTAATAATTCTCGGAGAGGGAAGTAATTTATTTCGGGCCAGACAGCAGAAGAAAACCATTGCTGACGGTTCACAGCGTCAACGGTGTCCCCGTGTCGTGACTGACGTGGTCGCTCCCTCAGCCAGTCGATCGCATCCGCTCATCCACTCGGCATGTGCAGAATCCTTCCTTTCCACCAATCATGGCCACCTGCTTTCCCTTCTTATTCCACTTTCCCTCTTTTTTCCCTCTTTCGTCTTTTCTTTTCAATTCCCATTCTCATTCTCTACACCTGATTCAAGATGATCCAGAAAGCAAGAGGTCCGTGGGCACATTTGCCCTGCTTTCCTCATCCTTGGCGTTCCCGTTCGGTTCATTCATTGTCCGGCCTTCACGTCCATGTATGTATGTATGTATGTACCGGCCATACCGACATCATCCAAGTACTCGTAACTACTAGGTAGACTAGCAGGAGTACTAGGCAGCGTTCCGTGGTCAATACCAATATGTACTGGATTTAGTGATCGGTAAAGTTCACATCATCGCCGAGTTGGGTAGTGGTTCAGTCATTTGCCAGATTGCCAAAGGGCTTCCTGTCGTCCACTCATTTCCCCCCATGTCATTCCCATCAATCCACGTCAGGTTGGTGATTCAGAGCCGACCAGAAATGGCCCCATCCAGCGCCATCCCTACCCGCCGAAAGTAACACCTTCTCGCGGGCCAAGATGAGGTCCGATCTTCGTCCGAGAGGTTCGGTGATAGGCTCAACTGCCCACCTTTCGGGCACAGGGATCGACCTACACTGTTACACAAGGCCATCCTGGCTGAATGATCCCGGACATGGTATCATTGTCGTTATTGTCCTTTGATTTTATTTTGTATTTTTAATTTTTTTTAAATTTAATTTATATAATTCCTAATTTTTTTTAATTGGTTTTGATTTTTTTTTTTTTTTTTTTTTTTTTTTTTTTTTTTTTTTTTTTTTTTTTTTTTTTTTTTTTTTTTTTTTGAATCTTCTTCATCCTCTTCAGCTTTTCCTTTGGGTGTGAATCATGATTGACAGGGAAAAAAGGGAAAGGTTTATGCAGAACTTATGAGGAGAAAGGTCTACATTACCTGACCGCGTTATGAGACCCTGCATGTAGAGCTAAGAACTGAGACGATTGTATCACACCGGTGTCCGTTTGTACCTCGTTTGTTGTCTCTTCGACAAGACCGAGAGGAAGACCCAAGTCGCTGTGTTCCCATCAGTCGACCATCATTGGAGATTTCCAGAAGCTCGCAATCAAAGAAACAAGAACGCAGCTCCGCTCCCCAATCATGCAGTCGATCTCTGTGCACGGGTAACTCCGGAAACCTGCAATGTAAGGTTAATTACCTGCGTGCAGCTATAGCCACTGGTATTATGACTTGGACTTGCTACCACTAGGCAGTCACGAAAGGATTCGCACCTCTCGATGTAACAAGAGAAGGGGTCTGTCTCGTGATACGAAGCACCAACCTAGTTCTACCGGGGGGGGGGGGGGGGGTTTAGGAGAAGAATGATATTGGCCCGCGGGCTGTATTCTGAATAAGACCTAAAGAGAGACTCTCAAACGGGCGATCCAAGAGTCATGGGCAGGATCCTGTAGGATCCAATCATCCGGCGAAACAATGGTCTGGACAACGATGGTGATCATGATTAGTAGACAAGCGAGATTAGGATATTTAGTTCGGGGCCAATGGGTCTTAGTTTCTCATCGACGTTGGCCGACTAACCTAATTCCTTAGTTCTTCATGTTATTGACGTCGCACTGAGCGGCAGTGACACCGTCTGGACGTACCATCCACCTGCGGGGTTGTTCCAGTCCATGGCTCGAGCAGGTGATGTCTATCCGAGCTGTCTGTCTTGGGTTCTAGAAGGTATCATTCCCTCTGCGCGGGTTGCAACTATACCAGATATATATATATATATATTTATATACCTACCAACATCTGTATATACTAGACATACACATATGTGCACAGTACAGGAAACCCATTAAAACTAGCAGGTAGATTTCCAATGCATCGCCCGGAAGTTTTAGCCCCAGAAATAAAAATAGTCGAGCTCCTGGGATGTCCGGACTGGGAAGGCGATCCTATACGATTTTCAATTGCACTGAACGGTGTTGCACAGCATTGCGGAGTTCCCATAACTTTTTCGTCAAACCAGCGGCAAGCGCCCAAACTCTCAGGAGCCGTCCGGATCAGCCGCTGGCCGCAGCAGGGACTAGGATCTTCCTGTGGATAGCTTGCCAAGGGGGGTTGCTGTTGGTTCGGCCGTTTGATGGCTCTGCACGGAAGGAAGAAAGTCGAATGATACCTCAGGATGGATGTACCTGCAGTGGTATTATCAGGGAGTGGGGACCGTAGGGCGCCAAGAAGAACCAAACAGAATTGAACTGCGTCTTGCGTGCTTCTGGCGTGGAAAATCTACTGCAACTCGAGAGGGTGGTGATGACAGCAGTTCGTGCGAGATGCTGACATCTTTTGATTTTGATTTTGATTTTTATTTTTTCTAATTTTATTATCGGCGTCCGTGTGCTACTCCGTACAGGTTGAGGATCTTGTTGGGTCCGTGGTGGTCGTTGATTTGCTTGCATGACAGCTGCAGGTACGCTGTACGTCTCCGGAAAACCCTTCAGGAGACGATCCACGGCCAATCCTTCATTAGCTTACGTAGAGAAAATCATTGATAGTCAGCATTGATCGAAAGGGGTAATTGCGCAGTGTAATTGAATTAACTTAATAAGACGAGTATATCGAAGAGAAAAACGCCTAGGGATTCGATTTTATCCCAATGGAGGAAAGTGTGTTGGCCCCACTGCGAGGAAGGTGTCGATGTTGTCCGAGGATCTCCTTGAGAATTTCTGACCAACTCCGGAGGGTTCAGCTCCAGAAATGAGAAGTCGGAGTGAGTCTGCCAAAAGTGACAAATCCCTGTGCGATAATAACGAATCTTAAGAGGTCCAATGTCACGAATTAATCGTAATTAAATTTCCCCAAGCCCGCTTAACCCACCTACCGCAGCGCCTCTTACGGAGTCAGGACTAGCGCCCGGCTCCAGCGACTGGCCCTCTTGCCGACGGGCGGTTGGCCCCGATGGGACGCCCATCCTCATTTGCTGATCGATGGCGCCGCTGTCAAGCTAAATTAACGCATCCACGGTGAGCTAATCCAACGGATGAGGATCGGTGCGAGACGGAGAACTCGACTAGTCAGTTGGTGATGATTTTCGTGTTCCAATCCCTTTGGCTTTCCTTTTCCGGCCTGTTTCTGATCCATGGACTGACGCGTAGTTTTGGGGGCGTGAGATCGAAATGATAGTCTACTTACTAGCCTGGTTGATATAATTAATTTTTTTTTTTCGGAAATTTTTATTTTCGATTATAATTATAATTTTCTCTAGCTTTACTGACCTGTTTACCCTCTACCCAGTTCTTTTTCCTTGGTTGGTTATCTTAGCTGTTCATATTATTAACTGGCATGTTGAGGAAAGAGGTAATCCTCTGTCGAACAGCCCCGCAAGATCGACTGTATGTACGACGGCTGCGGGTGTCGGGCCGTCGGTAGCGGAATTGCCATCCTGTGTGGCTCGATCTCGTCAGTCGACATGGGGGGAGATTTCTTTGTCCTCCAGACCTCACCGGGATTACGTTCTACCTGCGAACAAAAGGACCACAAAATTAGCAATGATACAAGAGCGGAGAAAACGAAAAGAGAGAAGGAGAAAAACAAAGAAGGAAAAACCCTCATCCCCGTAGATCTTAATATGACCGACCTGCGCCGCGGCAGTTTGGAAAGTGGATGTAGTGTAACGCTTAGCGTGTGAAGAAGGAGTCCTCGCTAGTAGCTACGAGAGAGAAAGGTCGATCATACCAGCGTGAATAATAATTATGATCAACCATGCAGCTGCGTTTCGTCCTGAGCACAGTTACTTTTTTGCCAAACACGGGCCTCTTTGTGCATTGTGCTCTGGGGGGAAAATACGCTATGCATCTGGACAGTTTTTTTTTTTTTTTTTGCTCTCGGCTCGCTGATGATACACATGCATACTCGAACGATTTTACGTACATAGTTTAGTCTGTACATGGACTTGAAACCATGTGAGAGCGGGCACTTTAAGCACAAGCATGTATCAGGATTGGAATCCTGGTGGTATGTCTTAGAGCTGGAGAAGATTATATGGGGAGGTTCATCACTGTAGGTTCACGGTTAATCTATTGTACATGGATACTACTTCTTCGGCCGGCTGCTCCGTTGGACTGTGTGGAGTATGTTTTTTTTTCTCATTCTCTTGCTTTTTTGGTCCATGCCATAATCGAACTAGTGTGAAGGAGAGGATGATACATGTGATCTGCTGCTGGGGTCGGGTTCCATGGTAGGGACCGAGTGATGGAACCGAATTAATATAGGCTTATATCGTAGTATCGGAGTACGGTCTTGATATCCAATACACACAGTTCATAATTAGCTGAGTAGTATGTAAACTTCACACTCCATGTATCGTATGTGTTCCAGGTATGAGAGGATAAGAGCGCTACAACCAATCGGTCAGAATTCAATCCACTGAATTGTCAAAGTCTGTCTTCTAGAGACATCGGTTGATAAAAAGAGGAATGGCGAGAAAAAAAATATGAAAGTGAAAAGAAGTAAAGAATGGGGGTGGTAAGAGAGAGGCAGAGAGAAACAGCCACCGGACAATCCTTCTCGGCCCTCCGTATCTCTGATACTGTTGAGTACTCCAAGGTCCGTTCAAAAGATAGTGGGGTTAGGCCATCCGAGTGGGGCATTGTGTCGTGGACTAGATCGCTAGTTGGTTCCACCTCACGCAAGGGGTCGCGAGGGAGGTGCTGCCCTCCCGCAGGAAGAAGGTTTCTGGGCCTATCGTTTCGCCCGAACCTTCCGTCAGCCGAACTGGAAATCGCTGAGATGATAGGGCTTGTTAGTCAAATGACACCGGGGTTGAATCGTGTTCATCTTGCTCGCAATTGTCTAGAATATCGAGAAAAAAAAAATCAAAAAAACAAGCGGTGAGACCCTGATCGATCTCGGTTCCGGTTGGAACATGTACAGAGAGTTCTTGCCCTTGCGCCTGGGACGAAAGTACGTTGAATCATCTGAGATCAGGACAGTCCACTCAAATTGAGACAAGGAATTGGTTATCCTGGAAATTCTTGATCGATGCGTCTCACCGAATCCGTGTTCGATGATGTATACATCACTCTCGAAAGCCATCACGAGTTCCCATTCACCGTGCGGTGTCGTCTCAGCCGGAAGAATTGCCACGGTTGGTTGACCTCTCTTGTTGCTTAATATCCATCCGGTGGGGACGTGGTATCAGGTTCGGAGCTCTCCAGCTATCGATTTCCTACGACCCCAGGGTGAGGGATTTCCCAAAACGTCCCTAGTACCGGTCCCGCTGCCACCTGTGAATAATACCAGGGCTAATTTATCGTGATTGAATGACTGGGGGACACTAAGGTTGATTGACGTCGCATCGGCCGATGCGACGCCGCACAAAATAATTTCATTCGATTAGCGTCGCCGAGATTTATAAATAAAAGTTAAACATATGAGGACAAGAGTAGTAGTAATGAAGAAGCCTGAATCAGGTTTCGATGACGAAAACAGTAATTTGCTCCATATCCATCACATTCGAGAGGCTTGGCAAAGTTGGAGCAAGCTCTTGTGAAACGCCAACCACGATCACCCTCTTGATTGGTGGGGGTGCCTCAGCGGAGCATTCAGGACCTGACCAGGGTCGTGGATGACATGGGGTTGGGCTCTTCTTGACCGACTTCTCCTCCCTTCAACGTCCCCCCTCTGATCTATCCAACGACATAGTCGCAACTAGTGAAATCGATGTATACGTGGAGGATGGTGGAAGGGTTAGAATCTTGACCGACGCTAGACACGGATTTCGGAGGATCTAGGTAAACGCGAGGGAAAAAAAGAGTAAAAAAAAGTTTTTTAGGTATCAATCAAGGGGTTGATCAGGGAACAGAGTACTCCGTCCGTATAGCGTTCTTGAAGGGATCATCAATTGACATTTACAGAAGAATGATTTTCTTTAGTATCTCATCCTTGTGTTATGATGATACCAAATAACTATTAAAATACACAGAAGGAAGTGCTCGAAGAGTTGCGCCTAGTCTTGGACTTCTAGAAATGTATATCCTTGTATACAAATCTATGTAGGAATTCGAAGGCTTGACAGCAATAATAAGTGGTGAACCATCGATACACTGACAGAATACAACCAATTTTTCCGACCGAGACTCCAGAGGCCAACCAGCAAAGATCTAAGCAAATAAGAATCAAAAAAAAAAAGAATATATAAAATCAAATAAATCAGAAAGAGAGCAGCCCTTGATCGACTGTTGCTCGCACGCCACCTTCGCTTTCGTGGTTCTTTCTCGACCAGTGATCTATCCCTGCAGTCTGCACGAATCCCTGCCCGCCATTCCTATCCTGGTTCGTTTCTTCTGGGTTTCTTCTGTCCTTGTGTGACATGAGTTGACCTCGCTTGCTTGCATCGTTCTATTTTCATCCTTTACATTTTTTCTTCTTCTTTTCCTTTTATTTTCTTTCCAGTATCGCCCCCCGTGAATGATGATCGTTCTTTCTTTTTTAAGTTTTATGTAGTCTTAATATTTTGCGGAATACATTCCGAAATGATGATAGGGCTGTTCTAATAAAACATCATCGATTCTTAAACTAGGAGCTCATTGCTGATGACCCTGTTCATTTCAATTTTCGATACAACAAATGACCAGTCATCTTACATACGGCCGTCATTCGATCGTGGTGACTTGTCAGCCTCTAGGTTGGTGGTATGTGGCGGGGCCCGCACCCTAACGCCCTCCAGATCGTCCCGAAAGCTTCAAATCATTTATCGCACACACCACCAGCTCCAGAGCCAAGGTGGTGGCCAATGGTTCTTTTAATATCGGATAGGGTCCCACTTGGACGGGAGGCTATTCATTGCTGGCGCCCTCTAGCGTCCTCACGGATTCTGCCTAGCAAAGATCTCTCGTATTGGTATCGTTTATCGATTTAAAATCTGTCAGGTTAGAGAGTCAAGCAAAAGAGGCTAGTCAGTGGATTGTTGATGAACATCATAATAACCTCCACAATGATTCCTTTTCTTATTCCGGCGTAATCCGGAGGACTACAGAAGAGATGAGAAGGGGAAGGAAGAAATAAGATTAAAAGGAGAAAAGACAGTATGACAATTGATAAGGAGCTACGTACTAGTATACGGGGCTTCATAAGATTGCTCAGTAGGTACTCCGTACGCAGTACCGAAATCGTACCTTTTTTCTACCTTCTCGCTATCCCTTGTAGGGTTTTGCCATCCACTCCCTCCAATCTCTGACTCTTTCCTCCCTTTCCACCCCTGGCCAAGTCACCGCCATTTACCCTGCACCGGTCGGCTCTCGCGTCTTGCCTCTTTCATATTGTAGGCTATATACTGTCACCCGGATGATATGATCTTTCAGGTTGAATCAAATAGTTCGTTGGTCTGTGTGGAACGTTTCCCGCTGTTGTACATATCCTATGATCCACACCGTTTAGACTGCGTGAATCTTGCATCCGCTGGATGATGCGATATAACTTATTCTTCTAACTAGTGTGCGATAGTCAGCGTCATTATTAGCTCTAACTATCATCGCGATGGGATTTTAATTATCGTCCCCTAATTTGCCTGATGAACTTCTCGGCCCGGCAGCTTTCCTCCCCGTCGGACGAGCCAACCTCTGTATCCACCCTGCATAACAGTACGTCGTGGCACATTGCAGTAATCGGTAGTTTCACGCGTTACCTGATCGCTTCCACGAAGCAGTCAGCACTCTGAATATGCATTTGGCTCGTAGCATCTGCAAGATTGGAAACCCCGGAAGGAAATTGATAAAGGATAATAATAGTATTATTATTATTATTCTTATTATATTTTGTTTTTCAATTTCCTTCGCTCAAGGGTAGTTCCTTTACCGTAGATTGTTCCATTAAATGCTCCGTGGGAAAGCAAAGCTTACGAGGTGGTGGTCCTTTGGTTCATGTAGTAGTGGGACCCGTGCCCAGCGTGGAGACAACCCAGTTGTTCGAACCTGGAACACGCCTGTCATCCGTCATTTTCATTTTGTTTTGGCTTCCGGCTTTTCGACCGATGTATGTAGTACTGCTTCCAGTTGCGGCCGCCGTTGCTTAGATTTCTTATTGCAGAATTAGTTTGTGTAGATGTTCGCATCACGTCTGCTTTTTTGGTTCTTTAATGGAAAAAAAAATACATGCTTTCATAGAAACTCCGACCTCGAGTAAACTATCCTGGCAGGGGCTTTGGCAGTATGTTTTTAGTTTTGCCAGGTGGACGGGGCAAAAAAATTTAGTTCCAGACATGAGTCTATCAGAATTAATAAAAAGATAGGTTCGTTTTTCTCTTAGTACTATTGACTGCTTTAGGGCGATCCAGCATCACCCTGGGAGTGCAGGCCGATCGAATGACTTACAGCTATGCGATCGGTCCCAACAGTTCACACAGTGGCCCCCAACTATCACGGTCAATTTGGATTCTTTCTTTCCTCTTTTTCTTTTACCTTTTTTTGTGTTAGTCTCCCCCCATCTCTGCCTTCGGCTTCTCCCACTACGGAGTATATGGAGGCCCTTTGCGATCTAGTATTATTTGCACGGGACACTCGATATAGCATGACTGAACTGAATCATTAAAGACAGAAGAATAATGGTATTATGGCGATAAAGTTTGAGATATTTCATTACTTATTTCGGATCACTTTTGCCTAGTCAGACCGAGTCTCCAGACCAGTCCTATTGATGATTAAATCTCTTAATCATTCTAAATGGGGCTCGAGACTGAAAACTCGACGATATTCTTCAAATCAGCAGAGTCCTCAACGATCCAAAACTATACCAGTATCATATGGTATTTCACCTCCTTTTCCCCTCTTCAATACCAGTACAAATCCCTTCCGGATCAACCAATCCCCGTCAAGGGTGATTCGGCTGGATCAGTATCGTCTTAGCCCAAACGGCGGTTCCTGTCCGGCGTCTTGTTTAGCTTATCCGGTCGGTGGTCCTTGCTTCGTGGCGGTTCTGCGAGAATCTCGCTGTCTGAGCTTGACACTGGGCTTCTGGACCCTACCAGAAAGAAATTAACAAAGTTGAGAAGCGACATCATCGGCAGGCGCAGGAAGCAGAAGCGACGCAGTAGATCCCACGGCGGTATCTCTCCGCTCTTCCACAGGCGCAAGACGCACGGTTGTCTCTCCCAGAAGATCAATCCCACTTACTCGGGCAATCCCCTTCCTCTCTCTCTGTCTCTTAGCTGCGGGATCCACACCTAAACTATTTCCTTTTTATTAGATTTAGTATTATTATTATTATAATAATAATAATACTAAATATTATTATCATCATTATTTTATTTTATTTTCAATTTTATTAATTCCTGAAAAAAAATTATCATCTTTACTTTTATTTGTTTTATTTTACGTCCTTTTTTACCTTAAGCTCTTGGGTTGCTGACATCTTGATTTTAATTATTTATATTTTTATTTCTCTGAATTCCCATTTTCTTTTTCTTTTTTATTTAATTAAAAATTCATTTTATTTTTATTCTTTTTTTTTTTTCACGAAAGACCCAGAGCAGCTGCTTGGTACTTAGTTATAGTGACGGACGTCCAGTGATCCACTGGTTTATTCCTTTCTCTCTTCTTTCAAACTTCCCTTTCTTCAGCATCGAATCCATCGGGGACCCAAGAAACGGACCGCGCTCTCATAGTTAAAAAGGACCCAGTGTACTGATCAGAAGGCTGGCAGTTAAGAAAGGGTGACTGGCACAACACAAGCTCCCAGTCCTGAAGAGAGACAGTTTGGCATCCGACCACAATTGCCTTGCAGCTTCTCTTACATTCCCGCGCAGCAGGTCTCAGAGAAACTGGTGATTGAGAAAGTCCAAGGACACGTGCTGGTAAGTGAGAATGTTTGATTCTGATTTTGATTTTCATTGCAAATCTTCTTTTCTGGGTTGGTTGTTCGTGCTTTTCGCGGGTGTTTGAACGTCTATGCTTCCTTGCTGCGGTATACCAACCTCAGTCCCAACCTCCAATGACGGTTTTCAATGAGGATACTATTCCTGCGGTGCTTGTTTTACTGTCAGTCTAGTATCTGAGAGAGAATTCCCTTTTGTCTTCTGGAACGCGTCTTCGATCACCCTTCTTCGGGAGTTCTGTTGCACCCGTCGCCCAGATCTGCTGTCGTGGTTGGCGATGTTGTTACTGTTTGGACCGCCAGCACCCAAGCCCACACCAGCCTCCCGCTAAACCGCGGAAGTTGAACAGCACTGCTGCTGGTTCCCTTTCTACCCTTTTTTTTTTT